ATGGACATGTTTGGGACACAAACTGTACACACGACACACGGTTCAAGGTCGTCGACACAACTCACAGAGTCTCGTCAGTATATGGAGGTTGGTGATCCTGTAGCAAAATCTGGAACAGCAGCGGGTGAATACAAAACACCTTCGGTACACAAGAAAGTTGTGTTCTCAGCTCTGTACTCTACCGCCTTACAATCCTCTATCTGTTAGGTTCCCATCCACAGTTGGGTAAACTGAGGGTGCCTTAGCGCGAACAGTGACCCCTAGGACAGAAGGCGAGCACTGTATCCACTCCACCACCACTCACCTGTAATTTTTCTTGTTTACCTCAACCCTCAATAATTAAACCAAAAACATATATAACTAGATCAGGTGTTTCCGCCGCCCGACTCTGATACCATCACAGAAGCATCACCACGTCGGCCGCGTCAAGCATCGTTACTGGTCCAGAGATAAAGCACGAACTACACCCCCTCCCGTCTCCCCTTCTACCACCCTCTCCCCTTCTACCACCCTCTCCCCTTCTACCACCCTCTCCCCCCCTCTCCCCTCTCCCTCTCCCCCCTGCCCTGTACCTTCCACCTCCTGCCTGCTGATCTCGCGCAATATATATATATCTCTCTCTCTCTCTCTCTCTCTCTCTTATATTTCTCTGGTTATAACTCCATTTATAATATTTGGCCTATTTTTGGTATTTTCATTTTTTTTGTCGAATCACTTTATATTGTATAATTTTTTGTTATTCATTCTTTCTTTCTTTCTTTCTTTCTTTCTCTCTTTCTTTATTTCTTTCTAGTTTTAAGTTTTAGTGTAGTAACTTAGAGCCTAGTAAAATTGTTAGAGAGAGAGAGAGAGAGAGAGAGAGAGAGAGAGAGAGAGAGAGAGAGAGAGTATTACATTTATCTCTCTCTCTCTCTCTCATTTTCTTTCAGCACAGTATCTCCACCTCCTGCTTCACCCTCTCTTACCGGGATGAAAAAGATCAATACTTTATATTTACATTTTATCTCCTTCCATCCTTATACCTTATCCGTCCTCTTCCTTCACTCATCTCCCACCTGACCTCCCTCACACTCCTTTGATGTGCTTCTTTCTTCACTCCTTCCATCCCCTCCTTCTTTCATCGTTATACTCTCTCCTTCCCGACTTTACTTTTTTTTCATGGACGATCTTCCCAACCTATATCTTTCTTTCTTCAGGAGGATATTGTCGTTCTCTCTCTCTCTCTCTCTCTCTCTCTCTCTCTCCAGTGTCTCGAGTCTTCCCACGGGCGGATGTTTGCTCGGGTTCAGTGCTCTGTGTGTGTGTAATAATAATAATAATAATAAACGGTTTGTTAATAGAGTTGCAGCCGGTGGCTGAAAATATACAAACTTACATTTGATTTAGACATAATGATATAATATGCATTGAATACATTTACAGGGCTGTACAGTACATAAATCAGGAGTTGTTTATTATTTTAACAATAGATGGGATGGTGCTGTTCTTATATCTATCAGTGCGGGCTCTTATGGGCTGAATTTTGTTGTAGTGGCGGACTGCGCGAGGTGGGTGGGGGACTGCCGGTGGCAGGAGGCGGCGATGACGAGGATGGTGCTGAAGTCCACTGCCAAACCTTGCTATTGCTTGGTGGTGGAGGTCACTGATGCATGGCATTTCCAGGGTGGAGAGAGCGTTGATGTAGCCGGAGTAGTCAGCGCCGAGCATGATTCTGCAGGCCCTCTTCTGTACCATCTCTAGCTGACGTTGTTGGGTGGAGTTGAAAGAAGACGACCAGGCTGGTGACGCATACGTTAGTTGGGGAGAATAAAGGCGTTGTAGATGGTCCTTATCTCTGGCGTGGGTGTCCCAAGTGACCTAAGTCGTCGTAGTATGTAGTGTGTGTGTGTGTGTGTGTGTGTGTGTGTGTGTGTGTGTGTGTGTGTGTGTTAATATAGCGGTCAAATGAAAGTTAGGATCTCATAATATCGTGTGGGTGAGATAATACCATTGATCATTTTTGGTATTATTGTAGGGATGATATGACTTAATTCACCTCTTGCGTTAAGGATAAATTTGTGTTCAGTAATCCCTCATTCACCGGTGTTGCTTGTGTCCCTATACGTCCTGAATAACTGGGCCATATACTACAGTAGGTGACTCACGGTATATGGAGAGGGATTTGATTAGGTTTATGTGGAGGTGCTAGTGTCACATGCTGGAGGCTGGCCAACTTTTGCCTCACATATTCAGGGAGGTCCGGTGTGTGTGTGTGTGTGTGTGTGTGTGTGTGTGTGTGTGTGTGTGTGTGTGTGTGTGTGTGTGTGTGTGTGTGTGTGTGTGTGTGTGTGTGTGTGTGTGTGTGTGTGTGTGTTTTTGTGTGGACGGACTTCCCTTGTTTGGTCTTGTCGTGGTGGGAGTGTTTATACAGTGGTAATGTTCTTATGGTGCACTACAAGCTAGTCACCTACGACACTTTCTCACCTTTGTCCTTCTCTACAGCTCTCTCATATACCCGTGTGTGTTTAGGGTGAGAAAAGGGGTAGGTCACTTATACATGGAGTGTGTACATAGCCTGAATGGATGTGTAGGCTTACTAGAGGTGGGGTCGGGTTGGGTGGGGTCGGGTTGGGTGAGGGGGGGGGTCTTGGTAAATATACAGACATTTGGGGTCTCTGGAAAGTGCAGTGATATAGAGACAGGGTGAAGGTAGAGTGTGTGGAGAGTTGGTTAATGAGAGGAACACGACTCACTGGTACAAAGTATGGAGACGCTTGCTCATACAGGGAGAGATGGGCTCATATTGCGACCTTTAATAGGGGAACAAAAGAGTGCGGGAAGATTATACAAAGACTGTGAGGGTCTTATTGAGTCATTTAAGTGTATGTTGTGTACTTCATAATGTGGAGAGCGTTCTTTGAGCAGTGGGGGGGGGGGTGTTCTAGAATGCTTAGGAGCTTAATTATAGAGGAAGTGTAAGGGTGTTCGTTATATAAGTGGAACGTACAGAATATTAGAGAAAATAAAATCTTCTTCCTCGGGTAAGTGTTTCAAGTTTAGTCTTCTCCCCCCATTCGTCTAAGCTTCCCCCTGTTCTCGTTATTTATCTCAAACTGGGTACCGGTATACAACAGGAATTGAGCGAGAGAGTGGAGAAGTGGGCGGGAGAGATACTGTGAGTCTTCCTTTATACATCACTTGTCAAGAGGCGTTCAGTGTACCTCATCCATCAGCTTGGGACGAAGGTGCTGAACCACAGGCTCCTCTCTACCGCTCCCACAGGCTCACCTCCACCGCTCCCACAGGCTCACCTCCACTGCTCCCACAGGCTCCTCACTACCGCTCCCAGGCTCCTCTCTACCGCTCCCACAGGCTCCTCTCTACGCTCCCACAGGCTCCTCTCTACCGCTCCCACAGGCTCCTCTCTACCGCTCCCACAGGCTCCTCTCTACCGCTCCCATAGGCTCCCACCTCCACTGCTCCCACAGGCTCCTATTCATCGCTCCCACAGGCTCCTCTCTACCGCTCCACAGGCTCCTCTCTACCACCGCTCCCACAGGCTCCTCTCTACCGCTCCCACAGGCTCCTCTCTACCGCTCCCACAGGCTCCTCTCTTACCGCTCCCACAGGCTCACCTCCACTGCTCCCACGGGCTCCTCTCTACCGCTCCCACAGGCTCCTCTCTACCGCTCCACAGGCTCCTCTACCGCTCCCACAGGCTCACTCTCTACACTCCCACAGGCTCCTCTACCGCTCCACAGGCTCCTCTCTACCGCTCCCACAGGCTCCTCTCTACCCGCTCCCGCAGGCCTCCTCTCTACCGCTCCCGCAATCACCTCCACCGCTCCCACAGGCTCACCTCCACCGCTCCCACAGGCTCCTCCTCTCTACCGCTCCCACAGGCTCACCTCCACCCGCTCCCACAGGCTCACCTCCACCGCTCCCACGGGCTCACCTCCACCGCTCCACAGGCTCCTCTCTACCACAACCACAGGCTCCTCTCTACCGCTCCCACAGGCTCCTCTCTCTACCGCTCCCACAGGCTCCTCTCTACCGCTCCCGCAGTATCACACTCCCACCGCTCCCACAGGCTCACCTCCACCGCTCCCACGGAAAAACCACTCTCTACCCGCTCCCCACAGGCTCCTCTCTACCGCTCCCACAGGCTCACCTCCACCACTCCCACAGGCTCACCTCCACCGGCTCCCACAGGCTCCTCTCTACCGCTCCCACAGGCTCACCTCCACCGCTCCCACAGGCTCACCTCCACCGCTCCCCAGGCTCCTCTCTACCGCTCCCACAGGCTCCTCTCTACCGCTCCCACAGGCTCCCACCCCTCCACCGCTCCCACAGGCTCCTCTCTACCGCTCCCACAGGCTCACCTCCACCCGCTCCACAGGCTCACCTCCACCGCTCCCACAGGCTCACCTCCACCGCTCCCACAGGCTCACTCTCTACCGCTCCCACAAGCTCCTCTCTACCGCTCCCACAGGCTCCTCCACCGCTCCCACAGGCTCACCCCACCGCTCCCAGGCTCACCTCCACCGCTCCCACAGGCTCCTCTCTACCGCTCCGACAAGCTCCTCTCTACGCTCCCACAGGCTCCTCTCTACCGCTCCCACAGGCTCCTCTCTACCTCCCACAGGCTCACACTCCACCGCTCCCACAGGCTCACCTCCACCGCTCCCACAGGCTCACCCCCCACCGCTCCACACCACAGCTGCATTAAACTCGTACAACGTCCCACAAATCGCCACCAAGAACAGTTCCATTCCGACGATTGAAAAAGATAGAGAAAAAAGACCAAATCTCTTTAATATCTCTTTTTTATTCCCTCCCTGTTACTCTTTTTTTATTGAATTTACAGAATGGGGCTGTGTTTACCCTTCTCTACCCCCCTCACCCCTACCCCTTCTCCTCCCTACCCCCTACCTACTCTCCCCTATCCCCTCCCCTCATTTTACACTACGGTTGTGATTACACACAACACACACACACACACACACACACACACACACACACACACACATTATCTATGTTAGTATTAGTCATGTGTGTCGCTCTGATGTTCCTCTCAGTCTGTTAATTTTATTTGTTAATTATGAGTTACTTTCATATCTTTATTTGGTCTCCTATACATCCAGTCATCTGTCTCTTGGTCTCCCACGCCGTGTCTTGGTCTCCTACACCCACGCCGTGTCTTGGTCTCCCACGCCGTGTCTTGGTCTCCTACACCCACGCCGTGTCTTGGTCTCCTACACCCACGCCGTGTCTTGGTCCCTACACCCACGCCGTGTCTTGGTCTCCCTACCCACGCCGTGTCTTGGTCTCTACACCCATGATGTCTTGGTCTCCTACACCCACGCCGTGTCTTGGTCTCCCACGCCGTGTCTTGGTCTCCTACACCCACGCCGTGTCTTGGTCTCCTACACAGTGCTGTTGCTTTATTACAGTAATCCTCTCATTCTTTTTCCCTCCGTTTTGCACAATAGCCTCGTTTGTCCTCCTCTTTGTCCCCCTCTACCTCCCTCTCCCCTTCTCCCTTTCCTTCCCTTCTCCCTTCTCCCACCTCATTTCTCCCCCTTTCCTCCTCCTCCTTCCCTCTCTCTCCCCCCCTCGTTTTTCTTTCCCTCTTCCACATCCCCCCCTCTCCTCCTTTTTTTTCCCTCTCCCTCTCCTCCTTTACCCTCTACCCTCTTCTCCTGTCCTCCTTCCCCGTTCTTCCTCTCCGCTCTTCCCGCTTTTCCTTGTCCCCTCATCCCGAGATTTTTACCCACCCAGTGCTGGGGGTTGGTGGGGGAGGGAATTCTGGGAGGAAGAAGGACTGTTGGAAATGATAATGGTCGTGTTTAAAATTTGTGCTGCCACCCCTTCCCCCCATAGCCTTCCCCCCATAGCCCCTTTATAATCCTTCCCCATGGCCCTCCCCAACCCCCTAGGTTAGTTATCGTCTTCCAACATTTTAAAGTTCGTTTTAATGGACTCCGTGGGAGTTAGTTATCGTCTTCCAACATTTTAAAGTTCGTTTTAATGGACTCCGTGGGATAGGTTGTGACGTAATCATTCTCTAAGCTGGAACGGGATTTTGAGATGAGGAATTCTTATCGTGGATCTCTTAAAGTGGGTAGAGGGAGGGAGGGAGGGGGGACCAGGATGATGATGATGATGATGATGATGATGATGATGATGATGATGATGATGATGGGTAATTTTCGTCACTTTTTCTTTCCGTGTTTTTATCGTTCATGTCATCCACTGAGGACCAAGGGCACTGTAACACGTGTCTTCTTACAGTTGTTAATTGATATAGTTTAGAAGATGGTATACAGTTTTAACTATGGAAGAGGTGAAAATACTCTACCCCCTCTCCCCCCTCCCCATCTCCTCTCCGGCTTCCCCTTTCTCTCTCTCTTCTCCCCCCTCTCTGCCCCCTTCCTTTCCTCCTCCATCCTCTCCCCTCCCATTTTCCCCTCCTTTCCCCTCCCCTCCTCCTTCCTCCTTTCCCCTCTTCCAAAAGATTGATCAATGCAGATGCCAGCACCTAACTAATAAATACAGTACACTCAGCTAGATATCACATAGGAAATATTTATGCCACTAACGCAGCCATTGGCATTGTAACATAACTCATGTAGATACGTGCTGTAGGAAGCCACTTTGTTTGTTTGTGATTGGAAGCTTCGGTGTCGTGGTGAGCGCTGGAGACTGTGTGAGTCACCGAGAAGATGGTGTGTGGTAAAATTTCCCCGTGTTTTTTTTTATTGAATTTGTTTGTTTCCCTGGTCAGTTTTTGTCCATATCACTGCCTACAGGTTCTCTTGTATTTCCTGTTTTCTTATATTCACAGTGGTTTAGGGATAGGTGCTGGGGACAGTGGGAGTGAGACAGTGGGGTAGGGGACAGTGGGAGGCCAAGGGACCAGTGGGAGTGAGGGACAGTGGGGAGTGAGGGGACAGTGGGAGTGAGGACAGTGGGTGGGGACAGTGCGGTGGGGATGAGTGGGAGTAGGGACAGTGGGTATGGGACAGTGGGGTAGGGGACAGTGGGGTAGGGGACAGTGGGTAGGGGGACAGTGGCTGGGGGACAGAAATATTTGCACAGGGAAGTCTTTGTCATCGGCAGTTTTCTCGCCTTGGAAAATATCTGGCAGGATTTTTTTTTCCCGTCCAGAATTTTCCCCTGTCCGTCTTTGCAGCCACTGGTGGACATTTTAACCTGGATATTATTTGTATTTCTGTCACATCAAAAAAATTAATAGAAAATGACCGAGAGGGGAATTTTTGCCGTGAATTAATCTCCCCAGAATACCCCATTAAGCAGATGTGACGGCAACATATGCAATATTTCCACACTGTTTTAACTTAATTGATAAAAAAAAAACCACAATAAAACATATGGAGGTAATTAGACAAATGTATAGCTATATAATACAGTAGATAAAGTGTGATATAATATTTGTCACCATTTGTAGTTACAGAAAATATAACAGCTTATTCATTAGTGAGTCAAGGTGTCAGCCAGGTAGAAAATATTGACTCGGGTAATCATGAGTATTGTATCGAACATGTCTACTATTTTGTATTTTTTTAAAGGTCATTCATTCACATAAATTCTTTTGCTGGTGTTGCCTGTATTATTCGTAACGATCTTATCATTTAATTTTGTAATGTCTTGTTCATCCGCTTATTTACAATGTTTAAAAAATAAGAGTTATTATTTCACAAGTTCTTTATAATTCCTAACCAGAGAACTAAACTCATTTTTGTGTTTTCTTTTTTTTTGAGGGGGGGGATTATGATATATTTTACCTTGTACATTAACAACTCAAGCTAGCGTACATTATGCACATTGTTCACTGACCCGCTCTGCTCACGGCGCTGTACAAACAATGGTAAATGAGGTAGAATGCAGAGAGCCTGAAACACTGGAGGTGGGTGGGTGGGTTGTGAGGGATTATGGAGACGGGAGGGTTGTGGAGACGGGTAGGTTGTGGAGACGGGAGGGTTGTGGAGACGGGAGGGTTGTGGAAACGGGTAGGTTGTGGAAATAGGAGGGCTGTAGAGACGGGAGAGACAGAATGGTTGTAAAGACGGGAGGAACGAGGAGTTGTGGAGGGTTGTAGAAGCGGGAGGAACGAGAGGAGTTGTGGAGGGTTGTAGAAGCGGGAGGAACAAGAGAAGTTGTGGAGGCGGGAGGAACAATAGGAGTTGTGGAGGGTTGTAGAAGCGGCAAGAACAATAGGAGTTGTGGAGGGTTGTGGAGACGGGAAGAAAGTCGGGGTTTGGGGGAAAGATTGGGTGTGTAAGTTTGACCTGAAGTAAAAAGTGGAATGAATTGCGGTGCCAAGTGTCTGCGGGGGTAAGAGAGGGAGAGAGCCGCTGTCTGTTGGTCACCGCTGTCTGCCTCGAGATACTACGTGTCAGAACTTTTGATTCAAGTTCTCCTAAGAGCTGTAAGATATAAGTAGTGGAATTAGTACTTTAATAGAGTGGATCTTATACATGTAAATGCCCCAGCCTGTAGAGTTGTGTCTTGGTTCTTCTCTTGGCCCTCGACGACAAGTTCCGAGTTGAAGACATTTATATTGATCCATGTGTGAGTGTTTGTTGACGTATCTCTCTTGTCTTTACAGAGGTCGCCCAGTCTCCAGGTTTCTTGACGGTGAGTATCGTCTCATTTTTCACGGGTCTCTTTTTTTCCGGCTCCTGGGGCGTCTCCTATCATTTCTCACCGCCATAAAATGCTCATTAAACAAATGGTACAGGGAGCCAAGGTGATGAGAACCATTAAAGGGGACAGTTGATGGGGTTGTGAGTCTTATTTCAAGATGAGGGAAGGTCTATAACTGCTTGGCGGTCTAACCCCCTCAGCTGCCCGCTTTCTCACCCTGTTTGTGTTTGTATGTGTGTGAGTGTGTCACGAGGTTCAGCGCTTGACGGTAATTAGAAAATTTATTTCGTGGAGTTGAGGAATAGTTGGACTATTTTTCTTCTTTTGTTAATGAGAACATCCCCAGTCAATAACCTCGAAAGTAAAGGAATTTAGTTCATCCTTGACAGTATTGAATGGGAAGCTTCTATATAAATCACACAAGATATTTTAAATTTTTTGTTAATTAGGTATGTTGTATTTTGGTATATATTTCAGGTAAATTAATTGTAATTATGTGTGTGTATGAATTTACAAAAGCATCTTTACTTTGTTAGGTTTTATGTATTTAGTTTATGAGAGAGAGAGAGAGAGAGAGAGACCCGTATTAAGGATGCTTATTGTATATTTTTACCAGATGAGCAAATTGGTTCTCCCCAAAAAATGCGATCACTTGTAGTTTTCAATCTTGGTTTTTGTTGATTTCTTGTGACGAGTTTATTAGTATTTCTTCTCACTGCTTCCCGGCGATCATAGTTGAGATCTTTATGACGTCAGGGATATGAAATGATCAACTGATTATTGTTTTGATTAGATTGAGTCAGATAAATTGCGTTATGTGGATTGTTTGGTGAGATCGTTAACATGGAAGTTGATAAGGAGTGTGTTTAGTTTATAAAAAAAATAATATTCTTTTTTTGTCGGGAGGAGAATATTAAGTTGAGAGATGAGAATGAAAATCCAGGTTCTCGTTTCTCCTCCTAAGGAAAGAAGTGTATCATAACCACTTAAGAGACATAACTGAGAGAGTACCACCCTACCCCACCCCACCCCACCCTACCCCACCCCACCCCACCCCACCGCCGCTCGCTTCCTCCAATTACTGCATCTTTGGCCATCCTTCATCGATTCGTCG